TTATTTAAGAAACAAAACTTTAAATGGCCGCCATTTTGTTTTATGTTTTTGGAAAATGTTCATAATTTTTTTGTAGCTTTGCCTAGTAGTCAGAAATGTTTGTGCAAAGTTTCAAGTCCGAATGTTTTACCATTCTCTTTAAAAAATATTAAAGGGAAAAAACAAAATGGCGGCTGTTTGAGTAAATAAAGACTTCCGGACTGTTTAAATATGATATTTGGATATGTTTCTTACCCAGGAATAATACCCTAAAATATCCGACACTAATTCTGAAACACCCTGTATATAAATCCCAAAGTACCCATGAACTTTTGAGAAAACTTGGTACCCCCATAAACCATATACTTAAAATGTTCGTCATGACGAGAAATCTTGCGCAAAACTATCCATTATTTCATAAATTGCCCTTTAAGGTCGTAACTCCTTTCTAAAGGGAACTTTCCATAATACATCAGGTTAAAAATACCTCAACTATACGTATTAGGTTGTTATTCTTTCAATTTATTACATTATTAAAATAAGGTGTGATTATTTGTTTGTATTAATGTATTCTGTTTTGTTTATTTCAGCTTAACCGATCAATAGTTTTATTAAAGATTACATATCTTTGGTTTTATTAATACTTATGAAGTCAAATAGGGTGAAGCCCATGGGTAACAGCTAGTTTCTCTAATAATCTTTTTGACTGGTTAGATTTCAAATCTAACACCATACCCCTGCCACTAAACTTAATTTAAGTATACTGTATATTTCTCAATGATATTAAGTATTCAAAATGTACAGTATATTCTTAGAAAGTCTCTTCTAGGCTGATTATTCAAACTGAAAATTGTATTGGCACAATAAACTATCTTAAGTAATTGGCAGTTATACAATAATAACTGTAATGAGAGGAGTGTAACCCTATTTTAAGACAGTATTTTGTAAGTCCCCAATACTTTCATGTGTAACATGAGCCAGCGAAATACACCCGAGCACAGTAATGATGTGTGCAGTCGTTTAGCGACTCTATTATTCAACAGAGGATCCATTGTGTGTTCAGGGGCTGTAACTAAAAAGGCCTTAGCTTTTAGCTTTTGTTTTCAATCAACAGTGATGAGCTCGAAATTGGCTCATCGGCTTTTAGACGAATGAGATTGAAATCCAGTACTGTTACAATATGTTGATTTTACTCAATATAGGCTAAGTAAAAAGTGTTCGTTTTTATTTTTATTTGTTTTTAATTAATTAGCCCTGTTTTCGTTGTAATATACAGTTTATTTGACTCGTTTAATGTTGTAAAAATAGTCATGATTTGGAAAAAAGTGTTCCACAAAGCTCATACTTGTGTGTTTACAGTATTATTTAATACAAAGGAAAAACAAGATGTCTTTTACAATAATGAAACCAAATATTTATCATTGAGGAATCAGTGAAAATCTTTTCATGAAGCTTCGTTGGCTATGTAAATAAAGTAAGACAGAGGTGTTGTAAAAAAAAGTTCTGTATTCTAGTGAGAGAAAATATTTACTTTTACGTCACCTAACAAACAATCTCCAATTCTACATTCTTCAACTACAACTTCATTGAATTCGCCTCATCATACAAACAATTTTCATGAAGCTATAAAATTTATGTAAATACTACAGCTGTTCTGTTTAATAACATTTTCATCACATTGTCTGGAAAGCAGAATTTTTTAATTCTCTAAATCGTCAGCAAAATCATCGTGCTAAGGTAACTTCAAATAGGGGACAGAAAAAAACATATGGTACATTTTTAGTTCACTTACCTCAAATTATGTGGTTTAATTTAATAATAATTGGAAAATTATTTCCGCAGTATGAAGAAAATAGTTGTTCGTCACACGGAGGAAAAGGGTCCTTTTGGTACTAAATCGTATTTACAAAACACGATTGCGTACCAAAAAGAGCCACTTTCGCTTCTAGTAAAGAAAACTACTATTTCATTAAAGTACTTGAAGAAAATATAAAAGAACCTTATATAGCCTATTGAAGAACCTTGATGATTTGTTCAAAAAATACACAGATACTCTTGGTTGAGGATCATATAATCATCATTCTTTGACTAAGCTAAAAGGTCCAGAGGTGGATTTTTGGTAGGTTCAACCACATAATGTAAGTCAAACTTTCTGATTTCCTCAAATCTTAACCTTTATTAATTTTAAACTATTCAGTTCAACCAACTCTTATAAAGGTTCAAACCAAACTATTAAGACTACGTCATAAGGCTAACACTGAGTAAAATTAAATAAATCATTTAAGGTGGATTCAAGGTATACTTAAGGTTGGGTATTCTGTTAATCCAAAAGACGTTACCTTGAAAAAATAGCACAAAAGTAGACACTGACACTCAAAGATCACACACAACACTCGGTACTGTCGGAAATACCAGAACATACTGAGGCACCCATACAATCTCCAGGTTGGGGCTTCCCTACAGTCACTCATGTAGCTAATAACTCTCTCTCCCCTTTAAATCCATCCTAATCACGACTCAGCTTTGGGGCAAAGAGATAGAATCGCAGCTGGAAGTATATTATTGCAGCAAAATGTTAGAAATAAACAACATCATGTTTATATAACAAATTGAAGGGTATACGTCCGTATCTGTGGTCAAAAACAACCGATTGAAAATATCGATCAATATATCGATTGTTTCATTCGATATACAGTATTAGGGTAACCTAACCTAACCAACAGAACGTTATATCAAATGAAATAATTGATACTTTCATTCGGTTGTTTTTAACAACAGATACGGAAGTCTACTCCTTACAGGCTTACACGTTGACTTTCACTATGCAGTTTCGCGAATTAACCAATTCAGACCTAAATGAAATTGTTTAACAAATTAGAAAATAAAAATCTGAATGGAATTTCACAAACGTAATGAATCAAAAGCTGAAAATAATTGTTGCTTTGTAATGTATATGTTAACACGCGACAACAGGTTTATAGGTTTAGTTAAGTCGTTGTATCAAAATGTCAAGTGGAATAACAAATGCTGTCCCAGCTGATTGATTTAGCAGTGTTGCCAACTTTTTTAAGCATACATATATTACGTACCTAATACAAGACAAAAATTTGTGTTTTTTGGTCGAAATCTGAAGTGCGGCAAAGTTAGTAAATGCAGGTTATTAGCTACTATGCGTGCTTATATCAGTACAAGAAAGTCCGTTTTGGCAGATGACTGTAGGACAATTTTTGGATCTTCATCTTCAGTATTATTAGTCTGAGACTTTTCAGTGAAACTCATTCTCATCATATGTTATTGCCACAAATCGATACAATGAAACAAATGTTATATTTATGGCATTGCTGCAACGTTTTAAAAATCTAAAATCATAAGTATTTTACAATAGTCTTGTACAAATTATTAGTGTCACATTACAGTTATACAATATGATCTTACAGTATTGTAATAACTGCAATGTAATGCATTGTTAACGAATATTATACTTTCAAAACGTTACATTGTTGTTGAGTACAATCTATATAATTAATACGCTACATGAAACTTTGTCGGTTGAACTCCTCCGCCATTTCTTAACCGATTTTATCCATTGACATCTCATTGGAAAGAGCGTGTCGCGTAGATTTGCAAACTGGCCTTACATTTTTGAAAAAGTCCCTTGGGCTCTGCCCCAGTGGCTTTGAAAGTTCCCATGTTATCCTTATGAAGATCATAATTGTTTACATTTTGGTCAGCTGTTTAATTTAATTGCTGTTATTTATTTTTCAATTCAATTAAACCCATCGAGTACATTTATTTACTACGAGAGGTCGTCCAGTGGTCGAAACTCGACCAAAAATATGTAATGTAAACTTACTCACTTCTCTATTTTCACCCCACACTGTAAATAAAACATGTGATTGGAGTTTCTTCCATTTGTTTTGATTTTCTGTTTATATTTCGTTGTTATTTCGTCACCAGCATGGCAACGCATAAGATCCATGTAAATTTTTTCAAATTTTTAAACTCATTTTTTGTGCTTATCTTTGAGCTTATTTAAATTTATAAAGGGATTCTGCACACCTACAGGAAAATAGCTATCTAACGGTATTCGTAGATTTACCCCACGATGCACACGAGCTGAGAAAAAAGGTTTTAAAGAAACATGCTTGCCTATTAATATATAGATAGATAGATTTGAGTTTGTGTAAACATAACCTCCAAGACGGATTTTGTTAGTATGGTTGTACAGTATCTTAAATTTGTGTATTTATTTATCGTTGTTTTGTGTAGCTATGACGGATCGTGTTAGCACGATTGTAACATTTATCGTTGTTTTGTGTAGCTATCATTTGTTTATTTGTTGTTTTTTTCTCTTTTATATGCCTCCGACGTGACGACAACAACACATATAGACAGGAGGCGTAATCGTGATGACCGCAGCTCACAGAACAGTGGCGAGTATTAGGCTTAACTCATCACAGTCAGCACCTGACCCTGGACAATCTCAACTATTAGGTTACAAATGCCCCCTAACACTACCTAAAAACGACTTATCGTTCTCAATTGGCCCTCTATAAATGACCTGTGTTGCCTGTACAGCGAGGCATTTTGAGAAGGAGAAAACCGGCCCGAATGCTTTAGGTTTATCAATAACGAAGATAAACATAGTCTGAGTTACACACCGGTAATCTTTGAGTTGACTCTTTTAAATTCGTTGTAAATATGACTGTTATTCGTTTTGAAATATCTTCTGTAATATTTGCAATTGCTCGAATTCGAGCAACATGTACACTAGTTATTCTCAATTTAGAATGATGTTGTTAAAATAAAAGCCAAGTTATTAAACTTACCAAGGTGATGACGGTTATTAAGGTTATTAATAAAGAGGGAAATATTTACCTAATGTGATATAGTTACTACCTGTACTCATTCGTTTACTGCTTGTCATGAAGTGTATGTACATTAGTAGATTCAATCGTAACATCTCTAGGTACATTATAAAATAAAAGATGTTCTATGTTTGATAATTTACAATTTATTGTTGGTTTTATTATTCACAAGATTTCAAATAAATAATTAAATACCATACATTTAAATATATAAATTAAAGACATGTTGACCTTTTGCACAAATACAAATATTTCTTTTACTTCTTGAGTATGCGAACCAACGGGGTGGGGTTGTACGCGTAGATGGGAGCGGAGATGGGCTTCACTTCTCTGTACTGGAGGTTAGCCTCGAACCCAGAGGCTTCTTCCTTCTCCTCGGCCTTGGTTTGTTCAGACTTGACCTCACTGAGCTGCAACTTGGTCTGAGAGAACTGCTGAGCGCCTTGCAGAGGGAACTGGACAAAGTCGATCTGGTAGTTTGGCTCCTCCTTGACCTGCTGGAACTTGGATTCCTCGGGCTTCTGGAACTTCTGGAAATTCTGGAAGTTCTGGGAGTTCTCAGCGGTGTACCGGGAGCTGTCGCTCTCTTGAGGTCGGATAAACACGGGGTAAGCAGCTGGCTGGAACTTGTAAGGAGCGTTGTTGTATTGAGCGGGTTGTTCCTGCTTTTGTTCCTCCTGGGCCTGGATGTAGTAAGCGTTCTGGAACTGTTCCGCTGGGTTGTTCTGGGTTTGTTCGTTCTTCGCATCCTTGGAGTCGGTCTCCCCAGACTTGAGAGCTGCAGTAGCGTACTTCACCATCTGAAGGCGGCCGTCGGGCAACAACACGTAGTACTCTCCGCTCTCCAGCAACTTTCCAGACTGGCTTTCGTCTGACTCAGATTCCTGAAACGGAAACCACGGAATCATTACAAAATAGTAACAGAAACTGAGTTATTGAGTAATAATGATTTCTGATAGCTATAAGCTACAATTTAACACTTGTAGACTATTCCCTCACAAACATTGTTTTAAGAAACAGTTGACGACAAAAACGTCCTTCTGATAAACAAGTATAAATTGATGAATACTTCGATAGATACCATTTTTGAAAAGTTAACTTGAATCTTGACTGGAAGAAGTACAGTATGATTTTATTAAAACACACTTCAAAGATCATAGCAAAAGCAAATCTCCTTTCTTCATAACATGACTTGGGGTTTTTGTAAAATTGCAAACGTGTTTTAGCTACCTGAGCAACGTGAGTCTGGTTGGTCTCTGGCTGGACGGTGGTCTGGGGGTACTCGGCCGGGGGTGGGTAAGCCTCCAGGCGGGCGGGTACCAGGAGGAGTCTTCCTGATGGCGTCCACCCCGCGGGCGGTGCTGGGGCGGCACACAGGGCGGCGGCGACGAGGGCGGCGGAAATCAGGAGGACCTGAAAGTAGAGGTCACTTATGAAGAGCTGCCCTTGCTTGTATCTATATTCACATTACATTTTTTTTGTAGAGTGCTAGTTGTAATGCAAAATGGCTGAAATATGATGAATGGATGAGATGACAGCTTTGATACTGTCTAATCAGGCAGTTATTTATGTAAGGCCAATTATGAAAAGCCCAATGAGTTTTTCAAACCATCAACATTTTTTGCATTTTCTCAGGATCGAACTCGAAATATTGTGATTAGTATGTCAGAACTCTAACCTTTCAGCTACCCAGCTAATGCAAGTACACCAAACAGAAAATAAATTACTATTAAAATGCTTCTCGATTTGTGTAATGTACAAATACGTATTCTAACAATACCAAAAATCAAAACGTCAACTTTTGCTGTTAGGCCTATTATTTACGTCAGTTTGCTATTATTTATGGGGTATTAAAAGTTATTAAAAAATGTCCCTACTAAAAAGTTACCTTTAACGGATATGCTTCTTCTCCATAACCATAATTTACAATATTTGTTTGAATTGTAATGTATTAATAATAATACCCAAGACAATTTTACTCCTGATCAAATGAATTCGCAGCCTATTAATTTAACCATATTAACGGCATTAATTTTTATTAATTGTGAATATGGCGTCCCCATCTCAATGATTGATTATTGATTATTGATTATTGATTAGTGAAGTTTCTCAAAGAAATTCCACTGAAGCCTATATAAGAGATATCCTAAAAACTTGTGAACTCTATTGGCTGGTAGCCTAAACATTGGCACAGAGGATTAAAGTGTTCGTTATATATTTTATTTCGGTAACTGGAATTGATAGACAGATAAATATTATGTTTTAGAAAACTGCCTGTACGGATTTAAAAACAACCAAATAGCAAGCAGTAAACTAAACTAAACACAGCGTTTCCAGGCCTCGATATTTTGTGATTGTTTTTTAAACTTCAAGTTTCATAACACCGGCAAACTTGATGTGACGCGAATTCAATAAACACATTTACTGTCAAGACGCGAAGCAAAGTGGAAAAGTTTACATTTACGAGAACCTCTACCTTTCCGTATTTACTATGGAAAGTTAAAGGGTAAATGCAATTATTCTTGCTATGAGTTAAAAAGAAAGACAAAGCAAAACTTCACTTTTGTAGGAATTGTATTTTATGAATCTCTACAAATATTTGAGCATTATAAAAGAGGTAAACCGAAACAATTAACAAACTGTTTGTCATTTGATTGGCAGTTTACTAGGAGCAACTTTTTTTTAATTACCTAAACTATATTACTTAAGTTGTGCTACAAAATAAACAGTATTGTGACTATTAAAAAATAGCGTTCTGTAATAGTGGCAATACTGTATGTAATATAATAAGTCATGAATGTATCAAACAAAATATTGCGTTAGAAAATATCAAAAGGATTCGAATAATTTCCATGCAAACGATACAGAAGTCCTTTGATTTCAGCGAACACACAAATAATAGAACAAAATTTACTCTCTAATGTAAAAATTTTAACCTATGTAATTTTTATATTTTTTTATATTTAACTCGAGTTCTCAAAGCTTAGCTAGTGTCGAAAACAGTTAATTTTCCAGGTCCTAGTAATAAATAAAAGAAAAAAGTTTAAATTGTTAAACAATATTTTCTTATCCTATTGCCCAGAAGGCGCTTACCTTCATTGTTGGTTGTGGTGAGTGAAGTGCCTACCCTAGCCAGTGTACAGACTATATACCTACACTGACAGTGCGGCATTGGCCTGGACGTGCCTCAAACACTTGCCAAGGGCCTAGGTCACCTAATGGGCGAGGGTCTACACCTACTATGCAATAACATTACATGTTTCAGTTTATGTACGGCGAAATTATGTCAGTATTTGTAACTTCAAGATGGTTTAGTTAGTGTATTACGGATAAATAAGTGGGGTGGACTTGCTTATGGTATTTCATTTGCAGTTTGGATTCAATTTCTGGATGATGTTTTGTTAAATCAGGTATAAACATTGTTTTCAATTTTTTATATGTTTATTCATGGTAATAATTTGTATTCTCTTATGTTTAATATTAAGTTCATCCTGTGTCTCTACTTTCATTGCTAAATGATAGCTACCTTTACACCCGCGTTTTGCGACGGGGCGAGAACTCAGATAATTTTTGTTTTTAATTCTCTGCAAACAAACACTTACAAACCCAATTTTTTCAGCGAATATAGTCTTATTCTATTTTACTTGGTAGAATTCCACTACCTGTATAAAAAACCAAATTCTGAATTCATCACAATTTAAACCTAGTACTAAGGAGCAAATGTAAAAATATGTTTTAGTTTTTTCTCTTGTGACCAAAATTGTTCTTCCAAAGGTCTATCTCGAAACTTTGGATTTGGAGAGTTCCGATAAAGTTTTAATGGCTTGAATATATTCGTGTGTTGTTTGGGTCCATAAACATCTTTTTTTATAAAATGTTAGCCCAGTATCTTTGACGTAACTGCATTAAAATACAGCAACCAGGTCCATATTAAATTTATCCGTTTCCATTAAATTATGGTAACTGCTTAGTGTTTTAGAATCTTGTGGATAGACCATTACGTGTATTCAATGATTGGCATTATTTTTGTTCTACTTGTATCTATATTCTATATTTGTACTATTCTATAGTTAGCCATGGTTTACCAACCTCTATAATATTGACAAAAACACATTTTTTAACACAAGTAAATGTGTTTAGCTTTGATGAGAGCTCAAAAAATGTATTTTGTCGTTAGTAGATTACAAAGCGCTCAAATTTGAGGGAAATGTTGTAATACCTTTTTCAACTGATTTATACACTCTTATATGAGTTCAACAATAATACACACATTTTGACTATTTTAGACGAATGAACAAGACTAGACCATATATTTTAATCGGGACCGATGGCTTTTTTAGTAATGTTAAACATATTCCTGAATTTGAATTGGTTAAGTTTTTGAATGAAGGCAGTAAATTAATTTCAGATAGACTAAATTTAGAAGAGAATCACGGTAATTCCAGTGTTGAATTCGTAAGAGATCACCTCCTGTTATGAAACATACTTCAAATTTTTCTCTGGTTAATTTATTAACGTAGGCTATAACCTGAATTATCCTTTAGGGCATTATCAGGTTGATTTTGGGATTAGAATTGATTACATCCATGTATCACCACAATGTTTATGCCCTCTTAACTGTCAAACATGTCTCAAATTTTTTGTATGTGTGTAAATGAGTCATTTTAAAAATATTTATTATCTTTTATGTAGTAAATTGTAATATTTTTATGATCAACAATAAGAACGAAAATGACGAGTAGCCTAATAATTTGGATTTCAGGCAAATTTTTTTTATTTACAGATATAGGTTTACTTGAGACAACATTATTTTAAAGTTGTCAATTTGAAAACTTGTAGTCGTTTCAAACTATTGATTCAATATTTTTATACAATACTTTACTATCCATTAGTGAATGTCACTACTTCATGATAATATAAGTACTAATGTTGTTAGAAATTGAATATTCAAACCTTCTACAACAATTGTGTCTAAGCCTTAGAGATCTGTAAAATTGTGCCCTTTGATATCAGGAATACATTTTTTTAAGATATATCTCGATATTTATTTTGGAACTTTGTCTAAACTGGGGGAAACCCACTTGACAAAACTTACTTCTCAAATATTCATTTTGATAGCCCCTGGACTAAGTATATATGACTTTTTATGCTTACCTCCTTAAGGTGATGTTTTCGACGTGTTGCAAGCTCCGATGATGTTACATTGCAAAGAAACGTGTCAGCTTTAAATAATTAAATCTAGACGCAATTTTGGACTGCTGACGGAGTAAGCCTAAAAAGTTATACTTTTCAGTCTGGTACAAGGACCAATATAAAAGTGATGTACCTTATCCTGTTTTACCCCTTTCTTCATTACATTATTAAGGACCTTTTATAATTTGTTTGATTCTGTAAATGCTTATCTAAATGTAGGCTACACTAAGGTATATTTCAGCAACATTAGGAAATGTAGCACGTAGAACAAGAGATTTACTGCGTCCGGTTTACTCCAAAGTGTTTGTTTTACGTAAGAATGAATAAAGAACGGGATTTTATTTGATTTTAAAAAATGCACACGGCGTTGAGTAAAGGTTTTGAACTGAACTAATATTATTAGATAATTCAGTGTTTAGTTGGCATAGTTTTAGATGAATTCATTAAATAATTATAAGTGTTTTAATGAAATTTTCTACATTATACTGATAAAAACCCTGCTAAAATTTCAGCTTTCTGATAAATAACAATTCTAACTAAATGTAATATGATGTTAATTAAATAATTGTAATAAATCATTTACAATTATACATTTGCATAATTAATTGCTTTGAACTGCATAGGCAAAAAATCTATTTAAATATAAAAACCAACAGAGTCGTAAAAATTCCTTGAGATTTTATTTTCCACTGATGCATAATATTATTTCGGTGAAATTAGTAAAATAATTTTTAACATGAACATCCTCAGTGAAAGCTAACTTTCGACTCCAAACTGTTCAATATAGTCTCTGTATTATATGGTCAAAAATTACACCATTTTCAGTGTCAAGATAGGAGGGATAGATATGGGTTAAAGTTTAAAAATCTTTAGTGTTTTTTTTTTGTTTTTTTTTTATAGAAATATCTTTAAAACAACGTGATTTAGCGCAAAACATGTTATATACAAAATTGATGTACGATAAATATCAAACAAATTGGTCCTCTTCATAATCTTGTTTAAGTGAACAGTCATAGAGATGTAAAAGATTAAAAATGGATATTTTTCAAAGAATTTTTTCTCTTTAAAAGTCCCAGGACAACTAAATGTAAAAAAATAAAGATAGAGCTACAAAACTTAGAACAAAGTCACTGGGGATAAAAATCATTTAAAAATATTATTCAATGATACGTTACCTCCTCAGGGGACGGCCTAATAGGAGTCAGAATGAAATGTGAATTGTAACAATAAGTGCACATCCAATTGTTAGTAAAGTACAATGCCGCAAACTCAAGCTCAAACGACAACCAAGTCAAAAATAATAGTCGTTGATAAATTATCCAATTTTGAATCTTTTTTGAGTCTCCTACCTCAATGCCTGGTTTTTAAAGTATTTATGGATTACCTTACTTAACATTATTATTTTACATATGACAAAATATTCATCCAATATCAGATGCTAAATAGTATATTTCGTACCCAGGGCCGAAAATGAGGTTTTGCCAGCTCGAGATAGTTTTTAAGTTCGAGACGAAGTTGAGAACTTAAATCGATCGAGAGTTGCAAAACCATTTCGGTCCGAGGTACGAACGCTATTTTTCACCACACTATACCCTATTACCACTATTCACCACTATAATAATGCACACTGATAGTCAACACAACTACAATATTTAAGGTTATGTGAAGAAATAGTTTGAGGAATCAGCAAAAATAAAAATAAATAGTTGCTAGGCAACGGTGACAATAACACAATTCTATTGCAATGCTATGGATTTTGATTTGTGTATTTAAAATGCATTCATGTTTTAAGTAAGTAAGCGGACAGCTGATTTTGTGGCCCCGGCCTGTAAAAACCTGCTTGGTCCCCAAATTACGATGACAGTTGGCCAGCAAAACGTAACTTTCAGCCACCAATTAACGTATGTAATACATCCAAAAACATCAGTGTGGTGAAAAAGACATTTTAGTTATAAACTCCCTTTGTGTAATAAATAAGTATAACTTTAGCAAAGCAACCATTAAAAGTGTGTCTAAAAAATTTGACAAACTCTTTAAAAGATAGCTGTTAAAACTCTTCTTCATGTTTTGTTTCTATAGAGTGCAATGCAATGACACATTCTGAATTAGAGTTTTTTTTTTTTTTACTGTAGATTATATTTGTGTCCATTGTGTAACTAGTTCAATTTGTTTTGCACATTTTTCCGTAGATATTATCTGTGACAAGGCAAAATAACAGAACACTTTGATAAAACAATTATTTATACAAATCAATAATAAGTTATTTATTTACATCACATATAGATCATCTATACATATTAATAGTAACAAATCTAATACATTTCAATGACAATATGTACAATAACATCAATACAACTATTCCTAGCAACACCACAAATTGCCAACAAAACAAAGATGGCGGATCAATAATTCTTAAAAAGTGGATTAATCAAGATAATATTATTCACACTAATAAATCCACTAACAAAAAAAAACTCAGTTTTGTTAGTAATTCTAATAACTCAGACAATAATTTCACACCCTGAAAACAATTTAAAACTAATATTTAACAGAATAACAAATTTCAAAACTAATTTAATGTCTACTTTCATTAGTTAAACTCTAATAAAATAGAATCTGTCCTTTAAATGCATCAGGTGTCTTTAACTTGCATTAATAAAAGCTTAAATGAGTTTGTTATCACAGAGCTAATATAAATTATCTACAAATCCATGCTATTTAATTAATGCATACACTTAGATGAGCTGTTTATTTAATTATGTTGGTGTTGACCATAAAAACATCCAATGCTAAACTACAGTAACATTATTGGTATAATTTAAGATTTTAACTTTGGTTCCCAAATGTACGGTAGGGATAAATTTTTGAGTGACAAATTTAATCAGACATGGGTCAATGTGAAAAGACTCTAGCTTATTTTCCAAACTCTCTATTTAT